AGTCCTGACTCATGATTTCACTAGTACTTCCTGGAGCCATTATTCTCAGCCGCACCATTGCAGCATGGGAAATGTAGTCAAGGCTGACTGGAAATGTATTCAACGCATGGATCTGCTTTTTATCTGTCCATATATTCAAAATAGTAAATAAACGGCTAATATTAAACACATATTCAAATCAAATACTCAGACCAATCAAGCATGGTTGTCAGATACTCTTATTGCTGAAATTCCACAGCATTCATTATTTGTCTTCAGGAATTGTAGTAAATTACTGCAGCCTGTTGGTTGTTGTCTGTTCGTGTTAGATAGCCAGAGAATCTCAATCACAGTGTTCTACAGGCACATATTGTGTGTTGCCTATGCAGTAGGGAGGAACAGAGGATGTCTGCGCTGCAGTATGACATCCAGAGCCCTCCAGAATGCAGAACACCAGCTCTGCTTTTGTTAGGCTTTTGGGGAGGGAGAAAGGGAACGAGGGAGGGGAAGAAGAGGAGAGAGGGAGATGTCTGTCAGACTCAGAATCACTGCTTTCTCTCCCTCTCCCTCTCTCTCTCCTTCTCTCTCTCTCGCGCGCGCTGTCAGTCTGCTCGGATGGCAAATCCCACTCCTGAGGGGGAGATCACCATGGTGACAGCGCTGTGCCACACATGCCTGTGGATGCTGCTGCACTATAGGGCACAGAGAGCAGGGCGCTCCTATGGCAACTCATATACAAGGAGCGCCGCGCGCCGCTGTCGCCCACACGATCCTGTGGTGCCATGAGCCGTTATGGCAATGTGCAGCTAGTGAACAGTGTTAATGATGGGATGGAAACAGCCGGAACATGCCTTTGGTAGCCCAACCAATTAAAGGAGGTAATGTTGCAACAATTCAGAAATTCAGCTAAATGAGATTAGCAATTTATACAGCACCAGTCCCATTGAACATTTTGAAATTGTTAGCTAGAAAGAGATTTATGTATTTTCTGCTTTGACAGAGCTAGATTTGATATGCCTCGATAGAGGCTACTGATAGCAGTAGCTCCATAAAATGTTAAGGTTCTAAAAAGCTCTAGCTTTGATGATTTCCTGTAGGCATTTGAGGAGTTAACCAGAGGATTTGTTCTACAGGAGATTTCTCTGAGGGAAGTCATTATTATCTCCACAGCACTGAAAGCCTCATAGACATCTCTTATACCCCTCCATCCCTCCCTCTCTCTCTCTATCGCTCTCTCTCTCTCTCTCTCTCTCTCTCTCTCTCTCTCTCTCTCTCTCTCTCTCTCTCTCTCTCTCTCTCTCTCTCTCTCTCTCTCTCTCTTTCTCCCTCCACATAATTACAGCACAATCCCTCTCCAACATGTCTGCAGTGTTCCCTTATTCAAATGTGGCTTAATTACCTGTGGAATTTTAATTGGTGTGGCCTGCCTGTGGGAGACGTTGAGGTGTCCAAGGTCATACTGAGCCGAGCATACACACACACACACACACACACACACACACACACACACACACACACACACACACACACACACACACACACACACACACACACACACACACACACACACACACACACACACACACGCAAGCAAGCAAGCAAGCACAAGTACGCTAGCACGCAAACACACACGCACACACACACACAGGCACGCGTGCACACACACACACACAAACACACACACACACTGAGACAGACGACAGTCTGCACCCACAAGCTGTTTGCCTGACAGCTATAGGATAAAAAATATTGGTTAACCCAGAACTAAAGTCTTGCGTAATTTGTCAGATGCTCGATTAAGTTCTGGGTCCATACATGTTAAGAGAAGAGATTGGAACCAGAACAAAGAGCTCAACCCTTTCTCTTTGCAAGTTACAGACAAGTCTATGGGCCAAATGTCCCCTCCCCTTCTGAAATTCGAAAGATGCTAACACCTGCGAAATCTTGATTTGTCCAAAGCACCGGAATTAATGCTGCTCGTTATCTCACGCATCCCGTTGTATCATGACAGATCTACAGTACCATTTATGTTTACGTGGTCTGTCCACAAGAGATGATAGGATAAAAGGAAGAGAGGAAGAGAGGGATCATACGAGGAGAAGACACCAGGGCAAAATAAATGGCTAATGAACGCAAATGAAAATGGATCCCTCTCTGATCACAGCCTGTGCTTTCCCTGCACATCTTTGGCATCTTCTTTTTGTTGTTACTCTCTAGTCTGTATAGCTGAATCGACAATAGGAAATGGATCTCCCAGTTGCGCATGTGATACGTTGTGTGTGGGGCGGTTCTCTGTGTGTACCCTAATTGTTGTGTTTAATTCAAAATGGAGCAGAGATGGAGAGGCCCAATAGCAGGGAATGTGTTGTTGTTGTGCCGATTGCCGGTGGTCCTTCAGTCCGACCGAGACTGATGATTTGCACACATTAAGGCAGGCTAGGCCGGATCTTTTGGCTGCGTGGGAGGGGGGATAAACGGCGGTAAAGAGAGTACAAATGTGGGCCATTTCACAGCCCGATGACTCCTAACCAAGCATGTGAGCTGCATGCACGACTGTGAGGAAAATATACAGGACGGATGGCATCTACACAGTATAACCGGCGTTCATAGTCAAGTTTTTATGTTTTGATACACATACAGAAGAAAGGCATTGGACAATGTATGATTGTTTGACTGGAAATTCTCTATATAGAGACAATGACAATACATTTGAAATCTCACTATGTCTGACCAATTGTAATTGTTATAGCTGCATTGTCCGCACCGGAGTTTCAGGTGTGGTCCTACTTTTCTAGCCTGGAATCCACACTGAACATCGCTCTGTTTTACTATTGTTTCACTTCAAGAATAATGAAACAGATGATATTGAGTGTGGATTCCAGGCTACTACTTCTAGTCTACATCCACACAAAGAATTGTGGCATATCATCACTGTCTATTCTAGTCTCATTGATAAAGAACACCAACCTTCTACTCTCCCTTCCACACTACAAATAAGCCCTTTCATATGGAAATAGAGTAATTGATTTCCTAAAATCCACATTAAAACCATGCATAATTGCACTCGCTGTTTTGGAGCAATTAAAGTGGAATTTCTCAATAGCTAATGATTATTACGGGATTTGTGTAATTGAGGGCTGGTTGAATAAGCTTTTGGTTTGGAGGATGAGTCTTCTAAATTAAGTCTTCTGGGTTTCCGAAATGCAGTGGCTTTTGGGAATTTAATTGAAGTAGAGCATGCATGTTCCCATATGTACGGTATGTAAAATTGGTTTGGAAATATGTATTTCAGTTCTTGTTTAGTTGACATTATGCAATGATTGACTTCATCACTATGCTGTTAGACAGTAATATGAAATAGAAATCATGTAATTTACATTGTGCCAGATTGCCGATATACTGCATCTCTGTATCTCTATATATCTCTAGATATAGAACACTTACACTACTGCTCAAAAGTTTTAGAACACCTACTCATTCAAGGGTTTTTCTTTATTTTTTACTATTTTCTACATTGTAGAATAATAGTGAAGACATCAAAACTATGAAATAACACATATGGAATCATGTGGTAACCAAAAAAGTGTTAAACAAATCAAAATATATTTTATATTTGAGATTCTTCAAATAGCCACCCTTTGCCTTGATGACAGCTTTGCAGACTTTTGGCATTCTCTCAACCAACTTCACCTGGAATGCTTTTCCAACAGTCTTGAAGGAGTTCCTACATATGCTGAGCACTTGTTGGCTGCTTTTCCTTCACTCTGCCGTCCGACTCATCCCAAACCATCTCAATGTGGTTGAGGTCGGGGGATTGTGGACACCAGGTCATCTGATGCAGCACTCCATCACTCTCCATCTTGGTAAAATAGCCCTTACACAGCCTGGAGATGTGTTGGGTCATTGTCCTGTTGAAAAACAAATGATAGTCCCACTAAGCCCAAACCAGATGGGATGGCGTATCGCTGCAGAATGCTGTGGTAGTTATGCTGGTTAAGTGTGCCTTAATAAATCACAGACAGTTTCACCAGCAAAGCACCCCCACACCATAACATCTCCTCCTCCATGCTTTATGGTGGGAAATACACATGCAGAGATCATCCGTTCATCCACACCGCGTCTCACAAAGACACGGCGGTTGGAACCAAAAATCGCCAATTTGGACTCCAGACCAAAGGACAAATTTCCACCAGTCTAATGTCCATTGCTCATGTTTCTTGGCCCAAGCAAGTCTCTTCTTCTTTAGTAGTGGTTTCTTTGCAGCAATTCGACAATGAAGGCCTGATTCACACAGTCTCCTCTGAACAGTTGATGTTGAGATGTGTCTGTTACTTGAACTCTGTGAAGCATTTATTTGGGCTGCAATTTCTGAGGCTGGTAACTCTAGTGAACTTATTCTCTGCAGCAAAGGTAACTCTGGGTCTTCCTGTGGCGGTCCTCATGAGAGCCAGTTTCATCATAGCGCTTGGATTGACTGACCGTGTCTTAAAGTAATGATGGACTGTTGTTTCTCTTTGCTTATTTGAGCTGTTCTTGCCATAATATGGACTTGGTATTTTACCAAATAGGGCTATCTTCTGTATACCCCCCTACCTTGTCATAACACAACTGATTGGCTCAAACGCATTAAGAAGGAAATAAATTCCATTAATTAACTTTTAAGAAGGCACACCTGTTAATTGAAACGCATACCTCATGAAGCTGGTTGAGAGAATGCCAAGAGTGTGCAAAGCTGTCATCAAGGCAAAGGGTGGCTATTTGAAGAATCTGAAATATATAAAATATATTTTGATTAGTTAAAACATTTTTGGTTACTACATGATTCCATATGTGTTATTTCATAGTTTTGTTGTATTCACTATTATACTGCAATGTAGAAAATAGTAAAAATAAAGACAAATCCTTGAATGAGTAGGTGTTCTAAAACTTTTGATCGGTAGTGTACCTTACTAAGACCATTGAACAAATCTCTATTCCTCTCCTGTTTTGTGTATAGTGTCTATGGCTGCCCCCTGGCCAAGAAGAGGAAGACCCAGGAGAAACAGCCTTTGGAGCCTGCCCCCAAGAGGAGGCCCTTCTTAACCCCTCCCAACCCAGAGGAGAACCCTGCTGCCATCTTCCCCTCCTATGAACCTGAACCCATGGACGAGGGAGAGGAGGAGGAGCAGGGGGAGGTAGACGGGGAGATCCAGGAGGAAGGGGAAGAGGAGGAAGGGGAGGAGGGGGAAGAGGGAGAAGAGATAGAGGAGGAAGGATTTTCTGAGGATAATGGGGAGCTAGGTGAGGAAGAGGAGGAAGGAGAAGAGGCAGATGAGGAGGAGGAGGAGGAGGTGGAAATGGAGGTAGTAGGGCCAGTGGAGGTGGAGCAGGTGGAGGAAGGGATAGAGGAAGATGAGGAAGCAGATGATGGGGATGATGAAGAGCAAGAGGAAGAGGAGGAGGAAGAGGAACAGGAGGATGAGGGTGACGAAGATGAACATGAGGAGGAAGAGGAGGAGGAAGAAGAGGTCCAGAGTCACCATGAGCCAGGTGAGTCCACATTTCCAATGTTCTGTTTTCTGGGGAAATAAGAGGGGGTAATAGTGTTGGGTGAAGCTGGGAGTTATTTGCTACACTAATAAGCTGCCACTAGAAATTACATCCCTGAGTCAAAGATATACTTCTCATCAAAGCGATGCACCTTTGATGTGGCCAGTGAGAGCCATACCTAATCATGAAGAGATGGAGGCATAATATCCCAGAGAGAATTGAGTTGGGGAAATGGGTATGTCTGGGTGGAGGGAGAGAGGCATGATGGTCAATCTGGGAACATGTGGCCAATAGGGTCCTCAGGAGGAGAGGGGGGTGTAATAAGAGGTCCTCTACCTCCAGTGCACCAGATGAACTGCCTGCTCTCCCTCCATCAGCCCTCTCCCTCGCCCTCGCTCTCGCTCTCTCTCCGTGTCCTCAATCGTTTCTGACAGTGCCTTCAAGAGCAATCGAGAGAGGAGCTCTCTGAGTTATTAACTCCCCTGCCCCTCCCCCCTCCTACACACCCCCGTCTCAGCGGACGTGTCACATGTGCTCAGTCTCCCCCGGCCCCCTCCCCTCCCATGGAAATGGCTTCTCCCTAGGACATTTCGAACTCCCGAATCGGAACAACTCATACATCTCTCTCATTCCCTTCCGGTGTCTCAATTGCAGCTGTCCCTAAAATCAACAGTGAAACTTATTAGGTGAGGGAGTTACATGGTTCTCAGAAGCTCTGGGTTATATGTTTTGTGAAGAATGGAAGAATTAGAAAGCATTTGGTTCATTAGTCATACTATATAATTTGGATTTATTAGAGGGATTTTATACAGGCAATGACTGGCCAAATATATGATCTACAACCAGGGCTCTAAAGTGCGACCAATTTGCAACAGTCCCAAATTCTCTCTCTCTATAAATATATATTTTTTTAATGATAAGGCTTCGCTGTACTATTGTTTCCCAGGCTCAGATTCGTTAGTGTCATGCTTGCGCCATTTCTACAGCGAAAACTGCTTGTTTCTAGTCCAGACAGTTCAAAAGAGCTGGCCCATATTACCGGCGCAATGTTTTTTCTTTCTGTCAAGGATTGGGGGCCCACATTTTACACTCATAAACCATGTCGGTTCAAAAACTATTCCCCGGTTGTTAACCATTTGTTTTACACCTTGTTCAGTCATTTTTGTTAACTCATTAGCTAGCTAATAACCTGGTAACTTTATCAGTATATCCAAACATCTGGGGACACAGAAAGAAAGGAAACAGGATAGCTTCTTCAGGAGATCAATGGTCATAGAAATAATGAATGACAGAACTCGATAGGAAATAGTGCCTTTACTTCATCTAGAAAACTAATATTCCACAAATGACTTTTTCATTTCAAGATCAGGTATTTGTATCAACATTTTTTGCCTTTTCAGGGTTACATTGTCGTTTCTAGGTCACAACATGTGCTTCAGAAGTAGCTAGAATTCATAAAGGCTATATCTCAATCGATTTAAAATATATTTTTTTCTGGTGCTCCTACATTTCATGTGCTACCAAGTGCTACCAATTATTTTTTATTTTATTTAGAGCCCTGTCTACAACATCAAACTATTAAAGGGGCAATCAGCAGTTGAAACAATAACAAATGGGTTCCCTGCCACTGTTTCAGTAAAAAGCTAAGGGATGGGGCTGGTGAAATGTAACCACTCTCAAATTCATAGAAAGAGCTGAGTACACAAGGACTGACCATCCATGATATTAAAATGATAGTTTACACCATGTTTTAAGGCTACAAAGTCTTTGTTTACATTTACTTTGTTTACAAACATTGGAGTAAAACAAGCTTATATTTTGGGTTCTGATGGTGTATGACAGTTGAACTAAGCTAATGAGGCATTTATAAGTTATATTAAGTTATAAATCCAAAAACGGATGTAGCAACTGCAGATTGTCCCTTAAAGCGCTCTAACATAATCCATTTAATGTGATCATTAATATCCAAACTAATATACAGTAATACATTGAGGCCATTTAACGGTAGTCAGTAAAAATCACATAACTGGCAGATCAAAGTAGAGGGAGATCAAAGTAAAGGGAAGTTTTTGAAAAATGTTGAATTTCATATTAATATTCAAAATAATTAAACTATGATGGGCTTGTTCTTCATCTATCCAACTATAGTAAGGGCTGAAAGGTCTATCCTTCCTTTCCTGACCATAGAGAACCGGTACAAAAATGGCGGACAATCAAAGCATCATCCTATGGGACAGAAGGATAACAACAACAACAACAGTGGCCCTGGCCCTAACGTCGGCCCTAATGGTGAAGAGTATGAAAACTATGACGAGCTGGTGGCCAAGTCCCTTCTCAACCTGGGGAAGATCGCAGAGGATGCCGCCTACCAGGCCATGACCGAGTCAGAGATGAACAGCAACTCCTCCAACAGCGCCGGCGAGGACGATGATGATGATGATGAAGAGGGTAGCGAGCGCCGCGGGGGCAGGAAGGGCAAGCTGAGCGTGGATCTGGACAGCGATGTGGTCAGGGAGACGGTGGATTCGCTCAAGCTCTTGGCGCAGGGCCACGGCGCCGTGCTCCCCGACGACGGATACCCAGAAGGCACCGGGGTGGAAGATGGTGGGCATCCCAATGGGCGACCCCACCACCATGGCGTCAGGGGTCAGGCTGAGGAGAGCGAGGAGGAGGTGTGTCTCAGCAGTCTGGAGTGTCTGAGGAACCAGTGCTTCGACCTGGCCCGCAAGTTGAGCGAGACGTCGCCTTCCGACCGCCCTGGACACCCCGGCCTGCAACACCACCAGGCACATCAGAACCACCACCCTAACCAGTCCCACCACCACCTGCAGCATCAAACCGGCCACCACCACCACCAGGCTCAGCACCAGCCTCCGGCTCAGACCCACCACCTGCCCAGGTACTCTGAGAGCTGCCAGGAGGGCCAGCAGCAGGGCCAGCAGCCAGATGAGCGTGGGTCCCTGGAGCGCAGCTACTCGGACATGGTCAACCTGATGAAGCTGGAGGAGCAGCTGAGCCCGGCCTCCAGGGGGGGCTACTCGGCCAGCTGCCAGCAGGACGGGGACGAGGACACCACGTCGGTGGCCTCGGACCGCTCGGACGAGGCCTTCGACATGACCAAAGGCAACCTGTCCTTGCTGGAGAAGGCCATCGCCATGGAATCAGAGCGAGCCAAGGTCATGAGGGACCGCATGGCCTCGGAGGGACATCATATGGTGGCCCGAAGGGACAATCATCATCACCACCACCACGGCCATGGCGAGCACAGCCCCAGACAGAGCAGCGGGGCGGAGGAGCGCAAGTCCAGAATGCACCACGATGGGTCAAAGAGAGCATACTACCCTAAAGGTAACCACTCCCTGAAAATCTCAACACACCCCATTCACGACATGTCAGCTAGTATCCTCACCCTGTTGTGTACAGTATTGATGATCCACACAGTGCTAACTGCATTTCAGTCAATCTGGACAGCGTCTATATTAAATTAACTCTCAAAGGCTAACAGGCCCTTGCCTACTGACAGTGTTTCAACAGGCGCCAATAGGCCCCACAGTAACAGACTTACGTAACATCAAGCAGTATAACTGATGTCTTATTTCACTCATGAATCTAATAACATTGGACGTTTGCTTGACCCCTGCCCAGTAGTTCAGCTCCTCCCTGGGAGTAGATGGACACATTTCCCCTGACTGGTCTCATCGCTGCATATTGCAGTGGCAGCAGCAGCATCGACTGCAAACTTATGTTGTTAAATAGGCCGGCATGCTAACATCAGAGCCTTGGCTTGTCAGGCATGAGTAATGGCAATCTGCAAGGCCCGTTAGGACAGCAAATCACATCTGCGGGATTCCATCCACGGCCTATTTCTTTTAAATCCACTCTGATACACACCCCCACCGCCTGTGGGAGTGAGTCGTCCCATCTCTGTGTACATTTATTAACCCGTAAGAAAGCTTCAAAGCAGATCAGTGGGGAGCGTTTCAGACAGGGTCATTACGTTAGCATCAGGGGGGTGGCAGTGGCACATGGCGTTCATGATTGTTGGATTGTGATGCTATATTTTGAGTGACATTCCAATGGACACAATGGATGTTGATCTAAAAGTGAAATACTGCAGCTACCGGTCTGCTCTGGTTGAACCAAAGATGACATTTTAGTAGTTAAAATCCAAAGCTATTTGAAGTCATTTCTCTAGATAATTCTGCCTTCAACAACACGTCTTGCCATCAGTAGCCACAGACCGTTGAATGGCACGATTCAAATCATGCCAACACAATCAAATGACTATTAATAAGGACCACCCATCGTCGGTTATCACAGATATGTACTGTAATGGTATGTAATTAACTTCCATTAGCACAGGAAGCTAGGGGGAGGGACGTCTCAAGGAATAGGATTAGTATGCATAATTTCAGTCTCGAGAACATGTAGCTGGCTATACTATACGTATAAGGCTCTGGTAAGACCCTACAGATCTGTCGAAATACTATTTGTTTTTTTCAAAGGCCATAATACCATTATATAATCTATCCTCAATTAATCATTTAAAATTCAAAGTCTTCATCATCAAAGGAAGGGACCATGGCCTTTTTTCTAATGTTGCCATGGGGTCGGGACAACTGATTACTATTTCAGAATAAAAACATTTAGAGACAATGCTCATACACACTGTCTGTGCTCAATGTGGTTGGGTTTGGGCCTTGTCCTTGGGGGCACCATTGACGATTGGTGGAGATGGGGGCGATAGCAAGCTCCAGATATACATATGGGAGAACTGCTGATAAGCCAGTTTCATACAGGCTTAGTCATTCTGTGTTATCGCCACAGCGAGTGTAAATTTGTTATGAAATTGCATTTCTGGGGTGTTGGGATTGAACAGTTTCACAGATTTTCCTGTGTGAGCGTGGGGGGAACATGCAATGCCATGTTAAACAGGTAAGAGTAGTCTGCACTCTTAGAAAAAAGGGTTCTTCAGCTGTCTTCCAGGTAGAACCTTTTTTGGTTCCTGGTAGAACCCTTTTGGGTTCCATGTAGAACCCTCTGGCAAGGTTCTACATGGAATCTAAAGGGGTTCTACCTGGAACCAAAAGGGTTCTACCTGGAACCAAAAAGGGTTCTTTAAAGGGTTGTCCTATGGGGACAGCCGAAGAACCCTTTTAGGTTCTAGATAGCACCTTTTTTTCTAAGAGTGTTTGCTTCTTACCACCTCATTCTAACTACTAGGGCAAATTTGGGGGGGGAATAATACTGTTAAAAACCTATATAAATTTATGACCCTCTAAATGGAGTAAATTAAACAACAGTGCAATGGGACATTCCATGAATAGGGGTGACATACTGTAGTACCCTGGATGCAATGCTCACCTAGATAGTGAGATGACTTTTCAAACAACCAATATTTTTCTTCTTGGTAGATTCCGCAAGGGGGGACAAGAAGGAGAGTAAATGTCCGACCCCGGGCTGCGACGGGACCGGCCACGTCACGGGTCTCTACCCCCACCACAGGAGCCTGTCAGGCTGCCCCCACAAGGACAGGGTGCCACCAGAGAGTAAGTCCCATTGAAAATGTCTAACGTCCTGCTTGGGAACATTGGATTGAGCATTGCCCTCCCATCGCCTGCAATGTGGAACAGCATTTTTCAGTTGGATCTAATTTTCTTTTGAGTTTCTGGGTAACTCTTTTCCAGCAATTGCCCTTCAATGGTGCTTGTGTTGGGTTGACACATGAGGTCGTCTTCCGATCAGCATGGTGCCGTGTTCTTTCTTTGCTTTCACCCTGCTTGATCACTGTCCATGCCTGCATGCAAAGTAATGTCTCATCCATAGATCAGATACCTAATGGCATGCACATCGCTTTGTGAGACTACTTATATTGACCAGACATACCTCTATTTCTGCTTCAGTAAAGGACATAATGTAATATGTAACATTAGTTAGTCCAGCTAATTTCCCACCTGATTGGTCTATCAAGATTTTGCAGAAAGACTAACAACATGCTGACTACCTCTGAATGCTGCTTGATTCAATCCATTATTTTTCTGCTGCCTGCATGAGCATCAACATTACATTTTAACAGTGCATGCCACTTTCTCTGCTCACTACCTAATAATAGTTTAACAATAACCACTGACTCTGGGTGCTCCTAACCCCTTGCTGTCTCTCTCACCTCTCCCTGTCTGTCCTAAGTTCTTGCAATGTATGAAAATGTTCTAAAGTGCCCTACTCCTGGCTGCTCGGGGCGTGGCCATGTCAATAGCAACAGGAACTCCCACCGCAGGTGAGTGGCTGGCAACCAGGCAGGGCATGCACTGGGAGAGAAATAAGAAAAAACAGTGGAATAAATGTATAGTCTGATAGAACATAATAAAAAAAATCTCTATCCAGGATCTAAGAAAGAGAAAAAAAGGGTTCAAAACAGGTATATGTGGGGGTGCCATAGGAGTCTGCCACTTGGTAACGGTGTATCTCAGGTTCAGGAATCTATTGTCAGCAGTTACAGTGCATTCAGAAAGTATTCACACCCCTTGACTTTTTACACATTTTGTTGTGTTGGAGCCTGAATTTAAAATGGGTTAAATTGAGACTTTGTGTCACTGATCTAGACACAATACCCCATAATGTCAAAGTGGAATTTAGTTTTTCGAATTCTTTACTAATCAATTAGAAATTAAAAGCCTAAATAAGTACAGGAGTAAACATTTTCACATAATATGTCACATAATAAGTTGCATTGAATCACTCTGTGTGCGATAATAGTGGTTAACATGATTTTTGAATGACTACCCCATCTCTGTACCACACACATAAAATGTTCTGTAAGGTCCCTCAGTCGAGAAGTGAATTTCAAGCACAGATTAAACCACAAAGACCAGGGAGGTTTTCCAATGCCTCACAAAGAATGGCACTTATTGGTAGAAGGGTGAAAATAGAAAAAGAAGGCACTGAATATCACTTTGAGTTATCAATTACCTTTTGGATGGTCAATCAAAACACCCAATCATTACTGAGTGTTAGTCAGTAATGTGTTGTATTGATTTGCCCCAAACATAACACTGTATTCAGGACAAAAAGTTAATTGCTTTGCCACATTTATTGCAGTATTACTTTAGTGCCTTGTTGCAAACAGGATGCATGTTTCGGAATATTTTTATTCTGTACAGGCTTCCTTCTTTTCACTCTATCAATTAGGTTAGTATTGTGGCGTAACTACAATGTTGTTGATCCATCCTCAGTTTTCTCCTATCACAGCCATTAAACTAACTATAACCGTTTTAAAGTGACCATTGGCAACTGAGTTAGGAAGGACGCCTGTATCTTTGTAGTGACTGGGTGTATTGATCCAAAGTGTAATTAATAACTTCACCATGCTCAAAGGGATTGTCAACGATGTAGTGATGGTGTGGTGGGGAATCAGGCGCAGAAGCAGAGGTACAGTCCAACAAGACTTTACTATGCAAAATAATCCACAAACGGCAGGAGGCCAAACAGACGCGCACAGGCGTCAACACACGATCGCACGAAAACACAGTGCGCAAAACTCTCCTCAACAGAGGAGGACACTACTAATACTGGCGTACTGGAAAATAACACAGCTACGCAACCATCTGACAAGCGACAATTACACACAACACTATACACACAAACAGGGAACTAAATAGGGTGCATAATGATACCTAACACAAAACAGGTGTGGCTAACAGACAAAACTAATCAAACAGGAAACACAGAACATAGAACGGTGGCAGCTAGAATTCCGGAGACGACGAACGCCGAAGCCTGCCCGAACAAGGGAGAAAGGCCGCCTCGGCCGAAACCGTGACAGTACCCCCCCCTGACGCGCGGCTCAAGACGCGCGCCGACTCCGGCCTTGGGGACGACCCGGAGGCCGCGGCGCAGGGCGCGTCGGATACCCCCGATGGAATTCCGTCAGGAGCGACGGGTCCAAAATGTCTCTCCTCGGCACCCAGCACCGCTCCTCCGGACCGTACCCCTCCCACTCCACTAGATACTGAAGACCCCCCCTCCGACGTCTAGAATCCAAGATGGATCTTACAGTGTACGCCGGTGCCCCCTCGATGTCCAACGGGGGCGGGGGAGTCTCCAAGATCTCATGTTCTTGAAGTGGGCCCGCTACCACCGGCCTGAGAAGGGACACATGGAACGAGGGGTTAATACACTTATACTCCACTGGTAACTGTAATCTATAACAAACCTCGTTCAACCTTCTCAGGACTTTAAATGGCCCCACAAACCGCCGACCCAGTTTCCGACAGGGCAGGCGGAGGGGCAGGTTTCTGGCAGAGAGCCAGACTCGATCTCCAGGTGCGTACACAGGCCCCTCACTGCGGTGTAGGTCGGCGCTCGTCTTCTGTCGACGTATGGCACGCTGCAGATGGACGTGTGCAGCGTTCCACGTCTCCTCCGAGCGCCGCACCCACTCATCCACAGCGGGGGCCTCGATCTGGCTCTCATGCCATGGTGCCAGAACCGGCTGGTACCCTAAAACACACTGAAAAGGGGTTAGTTGGGTGGAGGAGTGGCGGAGAGAGTTCTGTGCCATCTCGGCCCAGGGCACATATCTCGCCCACTCCTCCGGCCGGTCCCGGCAGTATGTTCTGAGAAACCTGCCCACATCCTGGTTTACGCGTTCCACCTGCCCATTACTCTCCGGGTGGTAACCCGAGGTGAGACTCACCGAGACCCCCAACCGCTCCATAAAAGCTCTCCAGACTCTGGAGGTGAATTGGGGACCCCGGTCAGCCACAATGTCCTCGGGCACCCCGTAGTGCCGGAACACATGAGTGAATAGTGCTTCGGCGGTCTGTAGGGCAGTAGGAAGACCCGGCATGGGGAGCAAACGACAGGCCTTAGAGAACCGGTCCACAACGACCAGGAGTGTAGTATTCCCTTGAGAGAGGGGAAGGTCAGTTATAAAATCCACCGAGAGGTGGGACCATGGTCGTTGTGGAACGGGCAGGGGCAGTAACTTACCCCTAGGCAGATGTCTAGGCGCCTTACACTGGGCGCACACCGAGCAGGAGGAAACATAAACCCTCACATCCCTGGCCAACGTGGGCCACCAATATTTGGCACTAAGACAGTGCACTGTCCGGCCGATACCCGGATGTCCAGAGGAGGGTGACGTGTGAGCCCAATAGATCAATCGATCCCGACACTCGAGCGGAACATACTTCCGACCCTCCGGGCATTGTGGTGGACTAGGGTCGGTGCGTAATGCCCGCTCGAGCTCAGAATCGAGCTCCCACACCACCGGTGCCACTAGACACGACTCCGGCAGTATGGGAGTGGGCTCCACGGACCTCTCCTCCCCGTCATACCGCCGAGACAGTGCATCTGCCTTACCGTTTTGTGACCCAGGGATGTAGGTGATCTTAAAAGAGAAACGGGTCAAAAACATACTCCATCTAGCCTGTCGAGGGTTCAGCCTCCTCGCTGCCCGGATGTACTCCAGGTTACGGTGGTCCGTCAAAATGAGGAAAGGGTGTTGAGCCCCCTCAAGCCAGTGCCTCCACACCTTAAGGGCCTGTACCACAGCTAACAGCTCCCTGTCCCCTACGTCATAATTTCGCTCCGCCGGGCTGAGCTTCTTGGAATAGAAGGCACAGGGGCGGAGTTTAGGTGGCGCGCCTGACCGTTGTGAAAGCACGGCGCCAATACCGGCTTCAGACGCGTCCACCTCTACCTGAAATGGTAAAGAGGGATCCGGATGCGCCAGCACCGGAGCCGAGGTGAACAGGTCCTTCAGCTTCTCAAACGCCCTGTCCGCCTCGACTGACCACTGCAGACGCACCGGGCCCCCCTTTAAGAGAGACGTGATGGGAGCTGCCACTTGCCCAAAACCCTGGATAAACCTCCGGTAGTAATTCGCAAACCCCAAAAACTGCTGCACCTCTTTCACAGTGGTTGGTGTTTGCCAATTACGCACGGCTGACACTCGGTCTACCTCCATCTTCACCCCTGACGCAGACAACTGATACCCCAAAAAGGAAATCGACTCCTGGAAAAACAGACACTTCTCTGCCTTCACATACAGGTCGTGCTCCACCAGCCTCCGCAACACCCTGCGCACCAGGGCCACATGCTCGACACGGGTAGGTGAGTACACGAGAATGTCATCTATGTACACCACGACTCCCTGTCCCTGCATGTCCCTGAAGATCTCATCCACGAATGATTGGAAAACTGACGGAGCATTCATCAACCCGTATGGCATGACTAGATACTCGTAATGGCCCGAGGTGGTACTAAAGGCTGTTTTCCATTCATCATCCTTCCTGATGCGCACCAAGTTGTACGCGCTCCTGAGATCTAATTTCGTGAAGAAACGCGCCCCATGCAACGACTCAGTCATGGTCGCAATCAGCGGGAGTGGATAACTATACTTCACCGTAATCTGATTGAGACCACGGTAATCGATGCACGGACGCAAACCCCCATCCTTCTTCTTCACGAAAAAGAAACTCGAGGACGCGGGGGAAGTGGACGGCCGTATGTATCCTTGTCTCAGTGATTCTTCTATGTAAACCTCCATAGCTTTCTTCTCCTCCTGAGACAGAGGATACACATGACTCCGTGGGAGCGCAGCTCCTGCCTGAAGGTCTATCGCACAATCCCCCTGCCTATGGGGTGGCAACCGCGTCGCCCTCGCCTTACTAAACGCGATAGCCAAATCCCCATACTCAGGTGGAATGTGCAATGCGGGCACCTGGTTTGGACTCTCCACCGAGGTAGCCCCTATGGAAACGCCCAAACATCTACCCACACACTGAGCAGACCACTCCATCAGAGCCCTCTCCTGCCACGAAATAATGGGGTTATGGGTACTTAACCAGGGCATGCCCAGCACCACCGGATACGCAGGAGAGTCAATCAGAAACAGTTGAATTATCTCCTGATGATTCCCCTGCGCACACATCCTAAGTGGCGCCGTGACCTCCCTGATTAAGCCCGTACCCAACGGACGACTATCTAGGGCGTGAACGGGAAAAGGAACATCAACAGGGAGAAGGGGAAACCCTAACTCTAAACAAAACTTCTTATCAATGAAATTCCCAGCCGCGCCTGAATCTACCAGCGCCTTATACTGGGAATGAGGTGCCACCTGCGGGAAACGCACAGGCATACAAAAATGGGCAACAGTGAGCTCTGGGTGAGTGGGGCGCCTACTCACCTGGAGGGAATCCCCAGTAACGGGACCTGTCGTCATCTCCCCGAGGAGGCCATCCCCAGCACCTAGCCGCGGTGTGTCCTCCCC